TCATAATTTATTATGATTAATATGGAGTACCCTTGATTTTGAACTTGGAATGAGTACCAGTTTACTCTGTTGTTATCATGCTCAACAACTACGGTAATGTCACCATGGTAACAGCAAAAATGGAACATTGTACCACTGTCAGAAATCCAACCCACAGCTTTGGCAAGACAAGCAATTACCTTACCAATTAGGCTAACCAACTGCCCTGAGCAGGGTCGAAGATCAGAGGGGCTTGTAGTTATTGATTATCTAAGAACCAGGAACTATAGCTCTTGGACACAACCTACCCTATGGTCTGCTCTCTATGCTTCCAAGGATTACCAAATTATTTGCTTTCTTTCCCAATGCACTAGAAGCCATGAGAAACTAGTTTTACTTTTGACAAATTGGGTGTTACAGGAGATAGGAGACTAGTTCATGGGTTAAAGAAATAAAGACTTAAATTGCTCATGGTTTGACATTCTATGAAGAAAATCCTTTCAATCTGAACAGTAAAGCACAGTCTCCCAAGCCAGTTAATTAATTTGGTTATCTATTCGGACAGAAAAATCTCATTCGTATAACATCATCTAATAGAACCCAGGTCTTCAGCATGAGTGAACGCTTTAACCACTAGGCTACCCCACCGCCCCTTAAAGAACTACACACCAAATACCTGTCTTGCTCCTGAATGATTACAGGACCTCACAATCATGAAATGTTTAATGTGGGTGTTTTGTTTGCCACTAACCTTGTTTCTGGACACTTACCCTAAATCTCACCACATTTCAAACTAACACATATATCCACAAAATAAGAAATAACATCAAATTGAGCCTTCAGCAATGCTAGACAGAGTAAACTTGCAAAATCATCCCTTGATTTATTTTTAATTTCAATTTATCTCATGGGTTTGCGAGGCAGAATAACCCGACTCAAACACAACATGATAAATTGATACCAGAGAGATTCTCTCACTGCTCCAACCCTAATGTGCTTTGCACCTATTTGGATAAAATGATTTCGTCAGAATCACGTGTTAAGCCACTTCAAATTCCAGCCATACATGTAACTTAAAAAGTAATGCCAACTTAAATGTAAAAAATCAAAACAAACATAAGCCTTGAAACAGAATATATTGCTGCATAGCCTGTGGCATGTTAATGCCGGTGAATGTATGAGAAACGCAGGTTTTATAGCACATTCACAGAAAGTGCACTTGGCGAGCTAGGACTGACTTATCTAATGTTTCCTTGGCGATACAGACCTAATCGGACGCCGTTGGGAGGCCCAAGCTGTATGCAGGCAGCAACCATAACCTTCTATAGTTTGCTTTCTTAAATTGTTGCAAGTTGGGCACAAAAATAAGTACAGGTGCACTGTCATGGCCTTCTTGCTGGGAGTTTTGGGGATCATCAGGGGGTGTTTTGACACAGTTGAAGGGTCGAAAATGGGGCATATTATTGTTTACAGGGAGTTTCTGACTACTTATGATGATGAATAAGTACTTCATGATTTTTTCACACCAATGAAAGGTTATTGAAGGGCTGACTTATTATTCAGAAGCAAATATTTATGTAAAACAGTTTCAAGAAAGTGACAGTTTGTTTCAGGGAGCCAGAATTTAGATGGCAGCATGGGATGTGGGGCAGTCCGCTTCTCAAGTCCGAGGCCTGGGTAGATGTGAGTGAGTGAGGAGTGAGTGAGTGAGTTGAGCTGAGTGAGTGAGGTGAGGTGAGGTGAGGTGAGGTGAGTGAGTGAGGTGAGTGAGTGAGTGAGTGAGGTGAGTGAGGTGAGGTGAAGTGAAGTGTAGTGAAGTGAAGTGAAGTGAAGTGAAGTGAAGTGAAGTGAAGTGAAGTGAAGTGAAGTGAAGTGAAGTGTGAGTGAGTGAGTGAGAGAGTGAGAGTGCGCGAGGTGTTACGCCACTTTTAGCAATATCCCAGCAATATCACGGCGGGGGACACCAGAAATGGGCTTCACGCATTGTACCCTTCTTGGGAATCGAACCCATGCCTTCAGTGTGATGAGCCAACGCATTAACCACTAGGCTACCCCACCGCCCCCTGAGTATAGTAGAAGATTGTTTAATCTTGTGTGCTCAGGTAATAATAGCGCACAAAACAGCACTAAAATCTACTGAAAATGGTGCAGTGAAGAGCCATGTTTTGTTGGTCTACTAAGTTTTCAGGCACCGACTTTCAAAAGTTTTTCAGCGACAAATGCTGTGAAGAAGTTTGAAGGATAGGTTCAGTGTGAGGTGCTTCAAGAATTTCAGCTTTTCAAAATGTTTCCAGTCTGATGAGCGGATAGGTAGATTGTTCAGCTTAACAACAGGACATTGAGAATCAAATGAGAAAGAAACATCATCAAGATGTCAGCACAAAGGCTTGACAACTGAACTTAAAACAAATGTTTTGGGTATGTCGATTTATGAGGATGGAAGAAGTTGATACAAAACAGCTTAAATAACCAATAGCCTGTGCCAAAACATTAGAAGCAAGATGTAATTTGTTAACAAGTACCTGCCACATCACTGCTTTATAGGAGACAAACTTCAAACATCACATCCCTTGACGGAGACAAGTTGCTCCTAGTGATATAATTTGTAACAAGTACCTGCCACGTCACACCCCTTGAGGGAGACAAGTTGCTCCTAGTGATGTAATTTGTAACAGGTACCTGCCACACTCCTTGAGGGAGACAAGTTGTTCCTAGTGATGTAAGTTGTAACAGGTACCTGCCACACTCCTTGAGGGAGACAAGCTGTTCCTAGTGATGTAATTTGTAACAAGTACCTGCCACGTCACATCCCTTGAGGGAGACAAGCTGTTCCTAGTGATGTAATTTGTAACAAGTACCTGCCACGTCACACCCCTTGAGGGAGACAAGTTGTTCTTAGTGATGTAATTTGTAACAAGTACCTGCCACGTCACACCCCTTGAGGGAGACAAGTTGCTCCTAGTGATGTAATTTGTAACAGGTACCTGCCACACTCCTTGAGGGAGACAAGTTGTTCCTAGTGATGTAAGTTGTAACAGGTACCTGCCACACTCCTTGAGGGAGACAAGCTGTTCCTAGTGATGTAATTTGTAACAAGTACCTGCCCGTCACACCCCTTGAGGGAGACAAGCTGTTCCTAGTGATGTAATTTGTAACAAGTACCTGTCACATCACCTTGAGGGAGACAAGCTGTTCTTAGTGATGTAATTTGTAACACACTCCTTGAGGGAGACAAGTTGCTCCTAGTGATGTAATTTGTAACAGGTACCTGCCACATCACACCCCTTGAGGGAGACAAGCTGTTCCTAGTGATGTAATTTGTAACAAGTACCTGTCACATCACTGCCTTATAGGAGACAAGCTGTTCCTAGTGGTGTAATTTGTAACTATTACCTGCCACATCACACTCTTTGATGGAGACAAGCTGTTCCTAGTGATGTAATTTGTAACAAGTACCTGCCACATCAGACCCCTTGAGGGAGACAAGCTGTTCCTAGTGATGTAATTTGTAACAAGTACCTGCCACATCACTGCCTTATAGGAGACTAGCTACTTCTTGTGATGTGATTTTAGTGCATCTCACCAATTCTTTGCACAGTTCATGAGCAGCCATCTTCTTAGCATTAAAAGTCAACATTTTTGCAAGTATAAGCAGACAGTAATTTCATTAACCATTCGTCTCATTAAGAGAGCACTACTGGCAGTGCAAATGCTCACTTGAATACTTTTTCTACACTATTCCAATTATGAGAGTTCTTCATTCTCAGTAAATTGATTTTGACAAAAATATCTTAATCACTCATGAAACAGGAAATGCACATAGTTACAGTGCAAGTCACACTGCAGTGTCTGGAAAGTGTATTGTTGAAGTGCATCCAGCTGTCCGCCTCAGACAGATATGGAAACAACTAGAGCTAGGATGGGTAACTCTGGTACTCCGGCCTGAGCAGGACCCAGGTACCCGCAGGACGACTGAAACCTGTTAAGTCACGTGATATACAATATGATATGATACGTGACACGTGAAATATACACAGTAAGTCTCTAATGTTTACATTACCACATCGTAGCACCTTCAGTGAATGGTAGCCAACTGCAGTCCGGTAAGAAGCATGTGCAGGGTTGACGTGCACTTTGGTGAAACCAATGAGATCTTTTACAATAAATTTTTTACATGTTCTCTTCACATTTTTGCACAGGGCTGCACACAGTTACACTTCAAAACTGTATTGCAAAATTAGAATAAGTTGATTGTGCGATCATAACTATATCATGAGTGTATGTTTGTTTCAGCAGTATTACAGCTGTACGATGTTGTAGAAACATAAACTGGGTGAGTTTGGGAACAAACCAGTGACCATCATCCTCTATAATCTCCAGGGTATATGTTTTGATAAATCTCCACCAGTACCCTGGATGCATTTACGACTCAGCCCGATAATTTTATTACCTCCCTTTGCTGGCTTTTTATTCAATGAGGTGTCTACGTTGGGAAGTTGAGCTTACCAATAACAAGGCTTCTATCATAACTCACTTCCTCTTCTTCGGTAAACAGTAATATTAAGAGGTAGAAGGAATTCTTGTATATATATTTTTGAAAGTTTCAGACCTGTCAATTTGTATGATTTTTCCCTAAATCTGAGTTACACCGCGATTAAATCTTCGTGCCATCCATCTTTGTTGACACTGGCAAGCTCGGTTGTAACAGCTTATCTGAATGGCTACTGTGAGAAGGCGGAGCCAGCAAAGGGAGGTAATAAAATTATCGGGCCAAGCCGTAGATGCATCCAGGGTACTAGTGGAGATTTATTGGAACGTATACCCTTGAGATTATCAAGGATGGTGACCATAGGTTTCTTGCAAACCTGAGGAAGCAATTCTCAGCGAACTGTGGCAACTTGTATAACTGGTGACTGCTCGCATTAAAACAAGAGACACATGCAATGACTGAATGATGAGAGGCATGTTTGATTATGGTAATGATGAGGAGACAATACCTGACACATAAGTTCTTTACTTACATCTTTGAGTGTCTTGAGGGCCTCTACATATTCTTTTTCATTGCGGTAAATTTCTTCCACAATATGGTATCGTTTGTCCTGAAAAACACAGAGAAATATATCAATAATAATCTTTCAAACACATTAGGAAACAAACCAAAGACAGAAACACAGATTTGCGCTCAACTGGTTTATGAAGAATAGTCCTGAAAAAAAAAAGATGCTGTGGATAAATCATAACAGACAAAATGTTATCTAAATAAACACATTTTCATTAAGAAACACTTCCAATAGCTAATCAAATGTTCATAATTATATCGACATCAATATCTAGTTTTGTAAATCTCACCTTTCAAAACACTGACAGGAAAGTAGTACATATGATAACTGTTGTTTTAGCTTGTTTCATCCTTAACGCTACTAAATGATTTAAGGGTTTGTTTGATTGCCTATTCACACAAATTCCAAAGTAATCACTCTAAATTCTGAACTGAAATATGATATCTTGCGATTCCTTGTCTTGTTCTCTCTCATGTGGGATAAAGTATTATCTTACCTTATCTTATCTTAACACCGTGACAAATTCATCTGATACACCTGGTGATATTTTGTATCAGTTCGAACGAGAAGTGTTGTAACTTTTAAAAGATGTCCTTCTGACAGGAAATGTTCCTTTCAGTCCCAAATGAGGTCATGTCCATTAGACACAAACTATTCTGTGATTGAAACTGAGGTCAGTTTTGTACATGTCCACAGAGCACATATTCTGTTCTATCACATACTTAAAAAGTATTGTACATGTATACACAGCATATATTATCTCAAACTGAGATATGTGCACAAACTCAAACATTTCCACTAAATCTTGCACCTTCAGCAGCATAACACCATATCACTCATAAAGACTCAGAATTTCCCTCATACCCTTTGTTTTATGGCTACAACAAAAATGATTTACCCTTTGACCTTGAATTCAATCATCTCAGCTTCTCAATTTCATTTGCAACATACTTACGAAGTAACTTTCAGCATCCATGAAAGTTGAAAGTTAAAATACTGGATGAGAGCATGTACTGAACAGCTTAAAAACAAAATACAGTTTGATATACTGAGCATCATAACCTTGCAAATGAGGAACAGTCCCCGCCCCAAATCCTTGCTAAAGTGCACTGTCTTCTTCATATGTTATTGAGAAGAGTACAAAACCTTTTTTGCAGTGAACTGAGGAATATTCAAGCCTTAAGTCAAACAAGACCTTTCAAATCATCTTAGGTAACTGAAACTAAACCCAAAAGTCAATCTAACACCACTTTCTCCATTACGTTATAGTTCTACAATACTTGATGGTAGCAATGTCAGAAGAGCATAGCCCAAGCTCAAGGACATCTCCCAACCTCCTACCCCCCTCATGGAAACAGCCCTCCCGAAGCATCCTGCGTCGGCTTTGACATACAAAAAACATTCTGCAGCTAATTAGAGTCCCCAAAAGAAGATCTCACCTTAACAAGAGTCAGCACAGCTGATAGGACGAGCAAGAAGGATGAAGGAACCCATTACACCATCCACAGCCACAAGACTCATGGAGGAATCCTTGGTGGATGCACAAGCCTAGTCATCTGTTTAAACCATTGTACGGAGTGGAAGACGGCCTTGTTTGTTTTCTTTGTCAGAACGTACACGAGTAGCAAGGGCAAACCTTGGCTGAGTACTATTACATGATAACTTTGCAGAAAAACATTTGTAGTTTTACTGCATCGTTTAACAATTTGCAGACAGCTGATTACAGAATGCAGGGAGTTCTGTCAATACTTGGCATGGGTTTCATGTGGGTTATCCTCATCGGAACTCTACGACAAATTCATCCAATACACATGGTGAAATTTGTTGTATCATTTTGACAGTAGTCACTGTTGTATTTGTAGTAAGTGTTGTATCTGTTGTAACTGCAGGGTATGGGATTTGTTGTATCTGTCATAGCTGCAGGGTAGGGATGTGTTATATCTGTCATAACTGCAGGACATGTGTGTTGTATCTGTCATATCTGCAGGGCAGGGATGTGTTATATCTGTCATAACTACAAGGCATGTCTGCTATATCTGTCATAGCTGCAGGGATGTGTGTTATATCTGTCATAGCTGCAGGGCAGGGATGTGTTATATCTGTCATAGCTGCAGGACATGTGTGTCATACCTGTCATAGCTGCAGGACATGTGTGTCATACCTGTCATAGCTGCAGGGCATGTATGTTATATCTGTCATAGCTGCAGGACATGTGTGTCATACCTGTCATAGCTGCAGGGCATGTATGTTATATCTGTCATAGCTGCAGGACATGTGTGTCATACCTGTCATAGCTGCAGGGCATGTATGTTATATCTGTCATAGCTGCAGGGCATGTGTATATATATCTATGCAGGACAGTTGTGTTATATCTGTCATAGCTGCAGGATAGTTATATCTGAATGTGTTATATCTGTCATAACTGCAGGACATTTGTGTTATATCTGTCATAGCTGCAGATATAGGAATGTGTTATAGCTGTCATAACTGCAGGACATGTGTGTTATATCTGTCATAGCTGCAGGGCAGGGATGTGTTATATATCTCATAACTGCTGGGAATGTGTGTTGCATCTGTCATAGCTGCAGGGCATGTGTGTTATATCTTTCATAGCTGCAGGGCAGGGATGTGTTATAACTGTCATAGCTGCAGGGTAGGGATGTGTTATATCTGTCATAACTGCAGGACATGTGTGTTATATCTGTCATAGCTGCAGGACATGTGTGTTATATCTGTCATAGCTGCAGGGCATGTGTGTTATATCTGTCATAGCTGCAGGGTAGGGATGTGTTATATCTGTCATAACTGCAGGGCATGTGTGTTATATCTGTCATAGCTGCAGGGCAGGGATGTGTTATATATGTCATAACTGCTGGGAATGTGTGTTGTATCTGTCAGCTGCAGGGCATGTGTGTTATATCTTTCATAGCTGCAGGGCAGGGATGTGTTATATCTGTCATAGGTGCAGGACATGTGTGTTGTATCTGTTATAACTGCAGGACTCGTGTCATATCTGTCATAACTGCAGGACATGTATGTTATATCTGTCATAGCTGCAGCGCAAGTGTGTTATATCTGTCATAGCTGCAGGGTAGGGATGTGTTATATCTGTCATAGCTGCAGGGCATGTGTGTTATATCTGTCATAGCTGCAGGGCATGTGTGTTATATCTGTCATAGCTGCTGCGCAAGTGTTATATATCTGTCATAGCTGCAGGGTAGGGATGTGTTATATCTGTCATAGCTGCAGGACATGTGTGTTATATCTGTCATAGCTGCAGGACATGTGTGTTCTATCTGTCATAGCTGCAGGACATGTGTATTGTATCTGTCGTAACTGCAGGGTAGCGATGTGTTATATCTGTCATAGCTGCAGGACATGTGTGTTATATCTGTCATAGCTGCAGGGCATGTGTTGTAACTGTCAGGCAGTCATGCACATATGTTGTATCTGTTATAACTACATTGAATGCTATATCTGACATAATTGCACAGCATTTATCTGCTGTAGGTGTCCTCTGTTTCCACCCATAAATCAATACATGTCATAACACATGTATATTGTCCCAGCAAATGGCACTTTGAACACACATACATACATTCCAGACCCTTAAGCTCTCCCCAGCTAGAAGTGGCACTAAATCAATGAGACAAGAATTGCCAAACTGGAAGCTTTACCAAATACCTCAACTACAGCTTGCAATCTACATGAAAAATAGATAACAAAACTGTATCTATTTACCAGGTTTAACATAATCCATATGCATGCAAACTACATTTCAAGTTTTTGAAAGGCACTCCATATTGTAAAACTTGCAATGAAGACTTAACATGCAATCCGAGCCTCTGAATCATTTTACAAACATCACAAACATGAGGGAAGCAAGGAACACACTGGTTGACCTCTCCTAAATCACTGGCAACATGGCACTCTCAAATAAATACAACCCCCACACACTTACTGGAGTATAAACTTCCTGGTCACATGATTGAAAGTTCCCCAAATACAATGTACCCAACTGAAACTGGATCGGAATACAGGAGTATAACCTTTCTAATCTATTGGTCACATTCTACAACTTCCCAGAATAATATGTACCTATGTAATCAAGTGAATAAGGGTTGAACATATATCTTGCAGGCATGATAACCTTTATAATTCATAATTAACAATCTACAAATTTATACATTAATGTTCTGTGGTGAGGGACAAGTGTAGGCATTGGAGAACGAAAGTGAGTGAGTGAGAATGGTTTGACGTCGTTTTTAGCAATAGTCAAGCAACATCACAGCGGGAACACAAGAAATGGGGAATCAAACCTGGCCTTCAGTGTGACAAGCGAATGCTTTAACCACTAGGCTACCCCACCGTCGATCCCGGGAATGAGAGTAGACACAACTTGACACTATACATAGATCATTATAAGTACTAGAATGTACGTGTCTTGTTTTGTCATTGGAGACCATGCTACTTACATAAAGGGGGCTAACACAAATTCTTGACACACACACCCCACACCCCCACCAACTGATTGGTTGTAGATGGGATGAGTGAGTGAGTGAGTATGGTTTTATGCCACTTTTAGCTATATTCATGCAACATCCAGGGGTGGAAATAACCCATTGCCCGACATCCGAGTCCAGTGGTTTTTTCTGTCGGGCAAGCAAATTTGTATATCATGCTGTACCGGTGTCCAGTTGACTTTCCAATGTTAATAATGTTATTTATATAAAAAATCAACAAGAAAACGGACGGTATAGTGGAAAAATTATTAGGGCAAGTGATTTTACATGTGCCACTGTACCGGAGTACACTAGCAATTTTAAAGTTATTTCCACCCCTGATATCATTTCATGGGACACCAGATATCGGATTCAAACATTGTACCCACATACATAATAAATCACATCTGGGGCTTCTGCATGACGAGGTAACTCTTTAACCACCACACTACCCCATCACCCCTGTTCATGGGATGATGGGGGCGGTGGGGTATTCTAATGGTTAAAGCGTTGGCTCGTCACGCCGAAGACCCGGGT